TATTTCTATTCCTGTAAATATGCATATATTAATAATATTTAAATACAGATTAAACATAAAAAGTATTCAAGTGTTTATGTTACATTATTTTATTGTTTGTTTAACATAAAACATATTTGAATAACATGGAGCTATAGTATTTTCAAATGAATGTAAATATCAAAAATTAAGTGCTATTTTAAAAACAATTATCATTCAAATTGTGTATGGTTAATGTGTGTGTGTGTATGTATATATATATATATATATATATATATATATATATATATATATATATATATATATATATATATATATATATGTTTATATATATATATATATATATATATATATATATATATATATTTATATATATATATATATATATATATATATATATATATATATATATATATATATATATGTATATATATATATATATATATATATATATATATATATATATATATATATATATATATAAATATATATATATATATATATATATATATATATATATATATATATAAATATATATATATATATATATATATATATATATATATATATATATATATATATATATATATAAATATATATATAAATATATATATATATATATATATATATATATAAACATATATATATATATATATATATATATATATATATATATATATATATATATATATATATATATATACATATATGTCACACACACTCACACACACATGAGTGTAAAAAATATTTACGTATATTTTGCATAACTTGTTTGCAACCTTTATACTAATAATGCTGCGAAAAGTTTGTGAGTACCGAATAGTTATGAAATAAATTCTTTGCGTACGTTTTTTGAAATTTTAGCTCAGCTTAGCAAGAGTTACTAAAATTTTGTAAATCCGCACCTTGATGCTTATCAAAAAAAATGAAAAAATAAATAAATCTAAGATTAAAAAGTAAATTAAGATTTAATCAAATACATATACCATGCCGTTGAAAAATGATTATTAAAACTGAAAATCTGCCGACTTTAATGTATTAAACTAAAAATCTGATGACTAAAATGTATTAAACGGCAGACTAGCCGACTGGATTTAACTATAAGTTAAAAAAAGCCTTCTTAGAGACTATTTTAAATTATATTTGATAATTTTCAAAGGGGTGTGGGGAATTTATTGCGTTCTCCAATTCTTAGCCATTTTTTTTATTATGGGTACTTAAAAACAAAAATGGCCGAAATATGAAGAAAATCAAAAAAAGTTTTATAAAAATATTTAGGAATAATGATCTCCTCATTATTATCCAAGGCACCGTGACACCGGATCTCAATATCGATAATGCAATAATGAACTGAATTATGTCCACTGTAATTTATACATCCATCTAAAATTATAAAAATACTCCTTTAAATTAAGTTTGTCTGCCACATCACTATATGAGTTTGTTATCAATAAAATTAAACTTAAGGGTTTAAAAAATTATTAAATTTAAAAAAATCTTTGAGTAAATTATAAATTTCATAAATAATTAGAAAATCTATCAAAGTAAGTTATAGCTGTATGCAAAATGTTAAATTCATAATTTTTGCACATAACCACAAATTTTACACAGTTATAAAAGTCAGAATATAAGAACATTCAACTGCATTACAAAAATCGTTTTCCTGGTAAAAAATCAATGTTCAATACTCTCGAGTCCTTAAAAAAAAAAAAGGAGAAGGCATTAATTCCCACCCACCCTAAACTTATTAAGACCATTACCTTCCCCCTCCCCCCATACACACACACACACTCGTTTATTAATTTTTACTTTTTATCAACAACAATTTTATATCTGAAAAAAAAAAACTCTTTCAAAATCGGCCTAAAAAGAATTAGAAAATAATTATTTCAGTCACTGATAAAAACAAAAACATAAATCCTTTTGAAATTATGATAAAACGACTGTTAAAAAATACATATTGACCGCAAGCCACGCTACAGCTACTATATTGACCGCAAACCACGTTACCGCTACTGTATTGACCGCAAGCCACGCTCGAATTAAATAGTTTTATATGCTTGTTTTGTAAAAAATATTAGTTTGGATTTATAACCTGAAATTTTTTATAAAAAATACTAATATTTAAACATGTAAATTTTTGCACCCTCTTTTTTTATAACCTCTCCCCTCCCCTCGATTATTAAATCTGGACTATAATTCCGCCTCCTATCTTGTAGAGAAATACTCGAGAGTAAGTAATATTGTTTATTGTAGCGATGTGATCTGATCATAATCCTAAAGAAAAAGTATAATTCGGTATTATCGAGACATTTAATATATATTTAATATAATGATACCGAGCTATCTGAGGAGATTTGGAGTTTAAAAGAAAAGGCCATAAAACATACAATAATGGGGAAACTCATAAGGCGCTGTAAAACTTACAACCCAACAACTAAAATTTTCAACCTCTGCCTTCATGAAAAATATGAAATTTAATATCATAATGGAAACGTTATGTTTGATAAGAAAGTTGAAA